TGATAAAGGTGGCTAGTGAGGGGTTTAAGAAGGTTTTGAACCCTTAAAGATTTCCTAGTTGAATTAAATATATTTTAAGCATAAAAAGTTCCTAGAGGTGTTAGCAATACATGCTTTACTTGTTTGATTAGTAAAAGAATTAAACGAGACCTCCAAAAACAAGAACAAAGAGAAACTAGTGTTAGGTTCAACAGGAAAGGTTTTTGATTACTTGAAAACTGAGGTTGTCATAACTTTTTTTTTTTTAAAAAAAACAATTAAATATCATTTTAAAAAAACAATTATGACTTTATTTAAAAAATTGATGATTTTGAATTAATTTGATTAAATTGAGTAGGAGAAACCATAGACCTTCGAGTTAGGTAGGTCGAATACCTAAAAACGTCTTTTTTAGTTCCCAAAAGCTCATTTTTTTTCTTCTTTTTTTTTCTTTGTTCGAATGTCTCTCTTTTCTATTTTTTTCCAGTTCCCAAAAGCTCATTTTTTTTCTTTTGAATCCCTCTTTGGTTTTTTTCTTTTCGAGTTCTTCTTTGTTCGAATGATTTTTTTCACTGAAAAGCTTCTCCCGAATATATGGTTGCATGTTCGATTTATGGATGATTTTGGGTGAAATGATGAAATCTAGGGATAGGGATATGATTTCTCTGATTTTCAGTAGGTTAAATCCTGAAAAATCGAGATTTAACCCATTTTTAATGGGGTTTTAGGGTTTGGTAAGATTGACTGATTTTTTTCTATGTTTTGGGTATGTTGATGACGATGGCAATTACTCCTTACGTGTCGGCATTGGACAATCATCTTTGTCTTCGATCGGCGGCGGTTGGCTGAGATGCATTAGAGTTTAACCCTAAGATTAAATTCTGGATGAAATCGAGTCGTTCGATCGGCACCATATCCTATGGTCGAGAAGCTGGCGCCGCCAGATGAAGGAGTAGCTAGGGTTTCTTCATATGTCAATGAGTGGGCTGTTGGGCTTGTATTGAGCTTTGGATTTTTTTGTTATATAGGCCTTGGTTTCGGGCCTACAAATAAAATGTAAATAAATATTATAAATAATTAAAACCCGAATAAAATAGGTGTCTACAGAGGTAACACACTCTTAATTCTTTCTTACTATTTATATGTCGTCTACATTAGCTTGTTCGTTTGCATTGGGTGTTAAAGCATGTTTTGATAATTTGAGTGCTTGTGGATTAGTTTAAAAGATTTAAACATTAGAAATGCATGAAAATGATGTATTATGATCCCTTAAGACTTTTGTAAGATTTAATAATCACTTTATGGCTTAAAATAAATATTTAAGGAGAGTCTAGATATGTTTTCGAGCAAAACATGACGTTCTTGGGTTTGAGTATACACACCAGATGAACTTGTATGGATATTATTCTTAAGGAGGTAAAATTTATGTTTTTATGAAGGCAGTATCGATACCTTATTCATAGGGTATCAATAATGTTCTTTTGGTATCGATTTTGAGGGTATGATATTAGTATCAATGTTTTTTATTCTAACAGCATTGCTAAATTTTGTATCGATACTCCAGGTTAGTATCGACACCCATCAAGTAAGTATCAATACTCATATAGAAGTATCGATATCAAGAAATTTTAATTCAATTTCGAGGCTTAAAATAGTATCAATACCCAAGTGGATTATTGATATCCTTCAATTGAGTATCAATACATTGTGAGGTATCAATACAAGAGGAAGTTATTAGGACTTTGAATCTATTTTTTTACTGATACTCAAGGAGATTATAGATACGCATTGCTTGGCATCGATACTCATGTATAAATATTGATTATATTAGTGAATGGTTAGTGGATCTTCTTATTAGATGAGACTCGAGCGTGAGGTGTTTCATAATATGGAGATCGAATAAAAAGCTATAAAGTGAAAACTTGATAAAATGTGTTGATAAGCATAAGAAATATTATAATGTGAGATTTTGTAAAACTTGTGCCTTTATTTGACATTTGTGAAATTATAAGGACATTCGAGTTATGTGTGTACGACAGTCGTTTATTATGTTTAATAAGTTACCTATATTTCCTAAGAGTTGTGCTATGTCCCTCGAGAATGTTAGTCAGATGACGCTCTAATATTATGTGACCTAGATTTAATCTTATGTACTCTAAAAGAGTAGGTTAGTCATTTGTACCTTTCTTATGCATGTGTGATCCAGATCTCACCCAAAAGACTTAGGTTAATAGATGTACATCTCTGATGTATGTGTGACATGGATGTCATCCAAAGTATCATGTTAGTATGTTAGACAGTTAGAGGGATTTGAATCATTGAAGCTATATAATAGCTGGCTAATCATGGTGTATGGTTAAATCATGATGTCTACTTCTGTGTAGTAGATAGATTATGTTAATGATTACTTCTTAGATTATATTTATCAGTATGCTTATATTATAAATTCATTTAGTATGATAGAATTATTTATATAACACTCATATTAAATATTTTAAAATAATATATTATATTCAGTATGACAAAATCTAATTTAACTTGAAGTTTTAATTTTAGGTTTTTTAAAATTCAAACAATTTAACCGCTTAATTCAATTCTATTATTTTATTATCATAAAGAATTAACCACATGGTCCATGAGAAATCTACTTTTATTTAATATGGACCCAACATCTCCACTCGAAGTAATTTTCGTTTTCTTCTCTTTTTTTTATAGGCTTAGAATTTTAGCTAAAAAGTAATAATGTAGGGCCATCAGCCGTGACGTCAGATCATGTGCTGTTGTCTTTCAATTATTTAATTTGCATTTTCTAAGGCCAACTCCAGCGCTACGCTGGAGTGGAGTTAAATTCCACTTTTATTGCTCCAGCAGCGCTGCGCCACTTTCCTACTCTATTTTGGCGTGGCTATTAGTTTCACGCTACTTGTAGCGTGTTAGCAGAAACGCTATAAAAAAGTTTTTTTTTTAGTTTTAATTTTTTATTTTATTTTGTTATATTAAACATAATATAATATATTTAAGTAGGTTAAATTGTAATATAAATAAAAATATATTGAAATCAGATGAATAAACATACTAATTTTGCTCTACGAAATGCACTGAATGAATATTCTGATTAGGAGAATTAAGATAAATAATTATACAACTTATGTTTTTCACATTATTATTATTAATTGTAATTTTCTTATTTATTTGTATTTTTGCAATGTTATTTATGAATGTTTTATTAATACTTTTTATTTTGATATTTTTTATAAATGTATATGTTTTATTTTATATTTACAAAATTAATATTATAATAGTTAAATATTATGAATAAAGTAGAGTTTGTGATAATGTAGAGATAACGTTGGAAATGAATTAATGTTTCATCTTTAAAGTATAGATATAGATGTTCTAGAGTAGAGATGAGGGCTGAAGATGACCTAATAACATTATGCTCATAACGTGTATCAATTAAGTTCCATTAACCTCAAAAACAAAAATTCTAATACTTTTATTATAATCACTAATTTTTTAATTTAACAACTTATGTTATACAAATTTTTTTTTCAATTTCCGAACATAAAATTCATTGCTTTGCCGCATGAACCGAGGAATTTTAACAATTAAGTAATTGTTATTATTTTGATAGGTTTTGGCTTTAAGTATCATGTTTGCAGGGGTATTTAAACGTTTATTATCAAATCGTTAAAAGTCTTTTGAATAGATATTATCTTGTAATCACCTCAAATTATTCACACACAAAAATCTTCACTTTGCCCATGTTTTTATATTTGATATTTATTTTTCTTAACCATTAATAATGCACATCAACTATGTAAACAAAACTACTTAAACTCAAAACCTGATTATTCAATAAATTTCTTTTTTATTTATTATTAATTACTTACTTTATAACTTTTAATTATTATAGATACTTAAAGTGGGTGCTAGATTTCTTTTTGTAAAAAAAAAAAATGGGTGCGAGATATTATGAAACAGATATTTTTCCACCGATGATTGAAATAGTGTCTGCTGAGTGAGTATTAACGGGGGGGGGAAATTAATAGTATATGATGATTATAATATATTATTTAATCATAATGTTTTTAATAGTTAATAGTGTACATATTTCTCGTAGACATGATTGTTAAAATCTAATTTAATGAATTTATTAATTGGACATTTCAATTCTAATTTTTTAAGTTATTTTACTTGTATCTTTTATTCAAGTTAAACTGTAATTTTGTAGATAGTTATTTTATATTAAATAATAAATTTTAAAAATAAATTTAAAAATTATTTCACAAAACTTTTATTAGTTTAGAAATAAAAAAAAATTAGGACAAGTTTATCACAAAGTCTTGTTTATTTAAGTAAATTTCTTATTTAACAATGATAGATTTTATCTTCTTAATGAGATCTTTATGAATTTAACTATCGGAGATAAAATATCTTATATCCCACGAAATCATGTTCAATGAAGTCAAAATTATCTTATACTTATTTGATAAGACTAAGATGGTCCGGTATGAGTCTTGGTCAGCGAGCCTTCAATTGTTGCTTTAGTGTTTGTTGGACCCAACTGGAGGTGACCAGGCGAGTTGCCGAGCTGGTGCCAGTTTTGACCTTCGGTTGAGAGCGTTGGCTGGTTGTTCAATCCTCCATTTAGATAGTAGGGAAGTTTTTAACGAGGTCAAGATCTAATTTATCTTCTTGCTAATAAAAATTCTTTGCTGAGAAAAAAAATAATATTTATCAACTATTTTTTTTAGATAAAATTTATAACAATTAAAGTAAAAAAATAGACTTGTGTCATGTGTGTATGTTTTAAGAGTTTTATTGTTTCGTAAAACTCAAATTATTTAAAAATTATCGTAAGTTTGATATTGAGAGTTTGCTCACCCTATAACCAATGTATGTAATTAATGTATAAAACTAAGATGATTGATTGAACCGTGTAAATAAAAACTCTAATATTATTATTTATATTTTAATTTTTTTCAGTAATTTTAATAATTGATTTAAGTGATTACCAGGTGTAATTCCAACATCCATTGAATTATTACTAACGACAAAGAGTTCAAGTGATTAGGCGAGACACATAGCCAAAGCTGACTCCACCAACCCAATCACAACACAGTCCCCATAGATCTTAAAGAAAAAAAAGCTACGACAACCCTACACCGTAGATTTCAATGTTCGTCCAGTGCACTCTCTTTTCTATCCACTCTTCTCAGCTGCTTTGGTTTTCGGAAGGGTCCCGAAAACCTTATCCCATAACGTGGTGGTTATCCCAAAGCCCTTGTTTTGGATCCTAAAGTGATGGTTCAAGTGATATTTCTGCAAACCAAACATGTTATTACATGACAGTACACTCTTGTCTAAATGTTTGAAGCAACACAAGTGTGTTAGTGTCTTACCTTGAGGGTTTTGATGGATTGTTTCGTGGGTTGGCCATGGTGAACGTAGTAATGGATCATATCGTATATAACGTACCCGATCAGTCCACCTCCGAACATCACGGGTCTTATTGAGAGAGTGAATAAAATACCATATAGATTCCAAAACTGGGGGACAGAGAAATAAAATATATCGATTTAGGGTCAATAATTTATGTTGATGTGGACATCATACAAATTTGTCATCAAATTTTTAATATATTATATGCTATAAATTCTTATTTTATTATATTGCAAGGACGCATATCTCATGGGAAAGAACTATTATTTTATCAATTTTACCCATCGAGATTGTCTTCAACGTCCAAATTAAACGGGGACCAACTTAAAAAAGGTTAAAAATATCAATGATATATTAATGGGTAAACTACGTATTAGTCTCTCAAATATTTTTGCAGTTCTGTTTTAGTTGTCTAACAATTTATTTTTCAAAATCACACCTAACATTATATTTTAGTTCTGTTTTAATTATACGTCGTTATAAAATAAATATAACTATTGATGTACTATTATTAGCTAATGTCACATCATTATTAAAAAAATAAAAAAAAATATCACTTCAATATTGAAGTTTTTTTTTAACGAGTAACTAAAACAGAAAATTAAATATGATTTTGAAAATAAAAAAAAATTGGGTAACAAATAGGGAACCGCGAGATCAGATGAATGATTAAATACTTAGTTTACCCTATATTAGTTTCGATATTGTCACTGTCTCTAATATAAATTCTAAGTTATATTATTTAATAATTGATTTGTTTATATATATATATATATATATATATATATTCATTTTAATCACCTAAATATCTAGCAAGCATCGTTTAGCTTATGAAGAAAGCAAAAAATTAAAGCAAAAACATATGCATACCATTACGGCTAGTATAGCAGCCTCTGCAGGTGGAATCACAAGCCTTAATCCATCGTTAGGGTGCTTGTGGTGGCAACCATGGATGAGATAGTGAAATGTGTTTCCCCTTTGCACAAAGTCGTCAATGAATTAGTACAAAAAATTAATTCGAATCTAATTTAAAAAATACCGAAATAAATAATACGATTCGAAATAAATTTCAATTTTTTTGGCATGTATTAGTGTTGTAATCATCAAGTGAAAGAACTAACCAGTAACTGTGTGTGTCAAGGTGAAAAAGGAAACGGTGGAAACAGTATTCGAGAAATGTCCACACAAAGGCCCCAAAAACAGACAGTATGGCCACTATGGGAAGTGGGAGACCCATTGTGTATGACATTTTGATGAAATAGAACGCAACCGGCAGCCATACGATTGGCACCACCCACCACACAGTTCGAGTCAACATCTGTTTCATGTCAAAGAAGGGGGGGGGAACACTATTAGCTCGTTTTTCCACGATCGAATTCGAACAGAGTTCTGAAAAGAAATACGGTACCTCCATGAAATCACTCTTGAAAAACCGAGGGCTTTCCTCGGTCATAATAGGGGTGTGAACCCAGTCTTGGTAAGTTTCTCCAAGGTGACCAACCTGCCATACATTCAAATAAGATGCGAAGCTTTATGAACATTATTTATTCAACCGGCGTACATTTGAAATAGAGACGAACATATAATTCTACAAACAAAAGTACCTGGAAGACAAGGGGTTTATTCAGATCAACAGTAAACTCCTTTCCAGCCATCTTTTGCTACTGCAACAAACAAACCAGGACTTAACATACAGAATCATCCAAAAGATTCTACTTTTATCTCAATCAAAGTGATAAAAAAAATCAGATCTTAATAGAGATGAAGGAAGAATCTGCAGAAAGAAGAAGCAAAAGCACACAAACCTAGAGAGAAGCAAAAGCACAGAAATTTGTTTAGTGAAGTGAAGATTGAAGAGAAGAGAGGGAATTATTCAATAATTATATGGAGGGATCCTTTATGGGAATCTGAAACATTAATGAACGGTGGCGAAAGCAAGTCGAGTACCTTTTTTTAATTTTGGTAGGTGAGTTCCAATGAGCTTTGCTGGATATATGATTCTGCTCTCATGTAAATAAAACAGTCATTTTATTTTTCTTGGAATGTGTTTTATTGACGTACACTTTCTTAATTTAGTGAGAAAATCTCAGATCCCGCCTCGAAAAAGTATATAAATATAGGCTAAAGTACATAAATGGTCCCCAACTATAAGGAGTTATTTTTGTCAGTCCTCCGACTATTAAAAGTTATAAAATGGTCTCTCAATTATAGGGAAATTTTTTTTAAGTCCTCTGACTATTAAAAGTTACAAAATGGTCATATGACTATTCGTATGTTCTAAACTCATTATTTTCTGTTAAAAAATTGATGACCGTCTGAGCTGAACGTTAACCTGCTAATTATGATACGATAAAATGATATTTTAACGATATGTATTGGCACCATCATTGCTTTTAAACATTGGTTTAACGGAATAATGTTAAAAAAATTAACGATGATAAATAGTTTGATGAAACAAAGTAAATTAATTTAAACATAATATTTACAAATGATAGAACTCCTATTTAAAATCTCAATATTTTTAAATATAGACTTCATAGTTGTATACATAACTATATCATTTAAAAACATTAATTTATTTAAAATATAATTTTGTATATCATCTCATTAAAATAATTTAGAAAAGGATGGGTTTACAATGCATGACACACACTAATATACACCGCTAACGACACATATCGGTATGCACCACTAATATTTTCATATGGTAAAATTTATAAATGATCATTATTTTTTGTTAAAATAATTTTATTTGTCATTATAATTTTAAAAGTTGCGAAATAGACATTAGTCTTTGGATTTTGTTAAAAAATAGATATCGAATATTAAATGTTGTTAAGGGTGTGACGTAGCATGCTAAATTGATAAAAAAAAATTATCTTATTTGATCCCTTAATTATAATTAAAATATCATTTTGATATATATATTTTTCAATATCTTAAGTAATAATTCTAAAAAAGAGAAAAATTAGATTTTTTAAAAATATATATATGATAAAAACATATTTTTTAATTTAAAAAATAAATTTATAAAAGTTGTTAGTTCATCAAAAACATCTAAACTTAAATAAATAATCGAATAGCCCTTAACTTTTAGTAACATATCAAATTATTTATATGATACAAACTCAATATCAATAATATAACAATAAAAAATAATATTTTTTACTTACATCTATTTTGTTTTCAATTCAATGAAATTAATAAAATTGATGTTAAAATAAAATCATAATTGTAATTAAAGAATCAAATGAGAATTTTTATTAATTTAACATGTCACATCATCTATTTAGTGGTATATAGTGGCTATTTGTAACAAAATCTAAAATTTAATGTCCTATATAGAAGTTTTTAAAGTTTATATCTAAAAAATCATTTGAATATTATTTAATGGCTATTTGTGAATTTTACCTTATAAAATTAATGGTGAATATAAGTCATGACATTGTTAGAATTTTCCTTTAGAAAAATTATAAAACAATCACATCCAGCACGTGATGTTGGTAAGAGCCAACGTATGACATTGTTTTTCACTTTTGTTACCCTTTTTCGTTACGACCGAGGCTTTTATGTTTATTAGATATATATTATAATTTACTAATAAAAAATTAAATTTTATTTTTTGAATTTTACTTAATTAAAAAATGAAAAAAATAATAATTTAAAGTAATTACAAAAAATTATTTATTCAAAAAAAATTAGCCATTAACGTAAAGTACACACTCTGCGAACATAACTGTTTAAACCCGAAATCTCTAGACAAAACAATATTCATTTTTATCGCAAGTTGCTTAATGGATTCAAAAACTAGGTATTTAAATTATACTTCTTTTTTTATTTTAGTGTTAATTTTTTTTAATCAAATAGATCTCTAAAATTTATTTAGTTACCAATTACGGTGTCTAAAGTTTTATTTTTACTATTTTAAGGTCATTTCATTAATGATCGTTAAAAAGAATTTCGTGAATCAATGATTGATTGACACATAATATTAGTTTTTGATTAATATTAATTTTTTAAAAAAAACTAAATTTCCATAAAAGAAAATTTTATTTTTTAATTTTCTCAACTTTTAAAAATCAAAAACCAAACTGTGAACGGCAGTCAGACAACGATGTTGCCTCACCAATGATGACAAATATATGATGGCTAGATGAAAAAACTAATTTTGTCCGACAGAGTTAGGGACATGTCTTACGATTTCGATGGCGTGCGATGATAAAGGAAGAAATCAACTAGTGTTAGTCCTACAACATAAGGGGTGATCGATGGTGACATATAATATTTAGTGATCTGGGATTTGAGATTTTGGATAGTCTAGGGATTTTATATTTTAAAAAAATAAATAATTTTAATTAAAAAAAAATAAAATAAAAAATAAAATACTTCAAGTATTGATTAAATAATATATTTTTAATGACAGTTAACGACCAAATATATTAAATAATAACTTTAAAAACATTAGACACTTATATTGATAAAAATACTTAAGACACCCAAAATAAAATTATTTTTAAAATTAAAAATAAAAAATTAAATTAATATAAAATTATAAGAACATAATTAAATCATTGTAGACAATTTAAATTTTTTATAAAGAACTAGATAAAATTAAATCAATCTTATCCCTGGATATAAGAATTGCCAGGACGGATTTGAAAGTAATACCAATAATATATTTTAATAAAATTCTTTCACACTCCATCCGTAATTGGAGTGACAGAGCTACGCATAAGATTTTGAGATCAATTGACCGTAATATGTTTTACAAATTTTAATTTTGACCATATAAGAATAAAAAAAATATTAACTATGAATTTATATGATTTTTTAAATTTTTTTAATTTTTGACCTCATCCCTAGGTTTGTCAATGTCAATGGATTCAAACTTTTGGGTAAAGTTTGTTTTAATAAATTAATTTTTAAATAACAATGATATTTTAAAATTTGTTAAAGTAAAAGTAAGTAAATGATTTGATGAAAACTATTCTTTTGTCGTTTTATTATTTCATTCAATAGATATTGACATTTATATTAGTATATTAATTATGATTAAAATATTGTTTTCAATTTTAAATAGTTTAAATTATTTAATGTGAAAATATTATATTAATATTTAATTACTATAAATGATACTGTTTTAAAACAGTAATCATATTAATATAATTTTTTAATTTTTTAAATATTATATTAATATTTAATGAACGGTGGGAAAGTAGACAGGGTTTTCAACGAAAACAAAAAGTTAAAAAGTTAGTCGTAGCTAGTTTGGTCAACAAACATATAATTAATCTTATTTGATTACTAACGTTTTTAAAATTGATCACTTACCGTCAAGAAGCTGACAATCCATTTTTAGCTGACATAATAACAATTTAAATCTTAAATATTTACAAATCATATTAACATACTATAAATTTTAAATAATTTAATAAATTCAATTTTTTACATTTACAGATTCTATCAACATAAATATAATACAATCACTCTTAGAGATTGTTTGTTTGACTCTGAATAGAATCATTTAACGTTGAATGTAGAACAGTTCAATATTTAACGTGTTTGTTTCTAACTTTTAAATAAAGACTGTATTGAATGACTCAATAAAACAGTATTGAATGATTCAGCATCAAAGTACATTATGAATGATTCAAAGTCATTATCAAACAATATGTTACCTTCAGAGTTAATTCATACAAAACCTTTGAATCACTCAGACCATTAAATCATTCAACACTTAATTATTCTAAAATAAATAAACAACCCTTATCTTCTTATTAACGTGTTAGGTAAGTCGTGCTTTTAATGATTTTTGTAGGGCACGCCCTTACTAACCTGATAAAGTTCTCCGACAATGCTTACAATAATTGATTCACCCAAAATTAAAATAAAAGAAATAAAAATAATTGTCAGATCTTTTACAATAATACAGTTGAAACAAATTATTTTAATAGTGCATTTTTGAAATTATTTCTTATAATTACTACAGTACACCCAAATATGCAAATATAAATTTTGGAGATACGTATGAAATGTAATGTGTCTCTCATATTTTTTTATTTAATTTTTAATCTTTAGATAAAAAATTAGGAAGACTAAATTTGGGTTGATTTTATCGAAATATCATCCTGACAGATAATAATTACCTGTCATATACCATTTTCTTAATTTTATCGATCTAGCATCCTTTTCGACAAGGCGCGGATCACCCTTCGCTCCTTTATGGGGTTTTGTCTGAGCTGGTGTCACGTAAGGAAAGGTGCGGATCGTCATCCGCATCTTACCATTTTTAAAAAATATGCTTAAAAAATTAAAAAAATAAAACTATAGGGACTAACATCGTATTTTAATACATGTTAGTTCATTGAGTTGAATAGCTTAATAAGGTTAGCTTATATAAACATATTAGAATGTTTAGGTTATGTTTCATCAACTCATGGAACTAATATGTATTAAATTACGATATTAGTCCCTATAGTTTTATTTTTTAAATTTTTTAAAGTATGTTTTTTTAAATTTCTAAGACGCGGATGACGATCCGCGCATTGTTAAAAATGTCAGAGGTTCAGCTAAGGTGCGGATGACGATCCGCGCCTTCCCTTACGTTGCACCAGTTCGGATAAAATCCCGCGAAAGCGCGGATGATGATCCGCGCATTATCAAAAGGGTGTTAGATCGGTAAAATTAAGAGAAAGGGTGTCTGACAGCTAATTAGTACATGTCAGGGTGATATTTAGGTAAAATCACCAAATTTGGGGAGGGGGAGAGAGCCGCATTGTGATCGGGAGAGACTAGGGGAGTCAAGTGCAACTCCGATGTGTTTCGAGCAAATAAAAAATAAAATATGAAAAAAATATAGGAGACGAGTATTTGGGGTGTATTGTAACAATCACCTTATTT